AAGACACACATGTAATACCTTAATAAAGAAAAAAGAATCTAATAAATGGAAAAAATAACCTTAAGTGAAATCTTACCCTGACCAATTTCAGTAAAATGGTGGGGAGAAGCCATTTTCAGTGGATTGAAGAGTGAATAGCTGATGAGAAGTGAAGACAGTGAATGAACAGAGCACTTCTTTGAAAATATCAAGTGAGAAGTGGTATTTCCGAACTCTGGTGCCTATGGACAGCACTGTCCATGTACAACACCAGCTATGTCATCATGAACTAGCTCTAGGGAGGTGGCGAATCTTATGACCAGGCCTCCTTATATTTTAACTACAGGTCAGGACCCAAAGAATCTTTAAAGCCACAAATTCTGAATATTGGTGGGGAATAAAAAAGATAATGAATGTCAAGATTTGGGCAAAGAAGAACTTGCCATACAAATGTTAGTTATTATGGCCATTATTACTACAATTGGGTCTTAGATTCCTGTCTGCCCATCAACCCAGTGAATATCAGAGTTGAAAAACAAATTGAAAAGTCTGCCCAGTGGGGCTCATGGAAGGGACGCCTCAGTAGCTGACTTATGCATATAATTTACACTGGAGATCCCCGGATAACCACAGCGAACCACAACTGTCTCTGTAGATAGCTCAGCGTGAACTTCCCGATAGGAAGAAAGCATCTCAGCGTCCTTATGCAATTGGATGTGATCATAACTGGAGGATTGGCTGCTGCTTGCTTCTCACTTCGGTTGGATAACTTGAATAAACTCTTTATGCAAATTGCAACTGCTGTCATCTTGTAACACTCCAACCTGAAAATCTGGATGGCTGGGTGCACACTCTTGCCAGCTCTAAACAAATGGAGGCTGGCTAATAAAGGGTTTGGAGGGCACCCCTTTGAGGCTGCTATGAGGTCTCTGCCATAGGCAGGCTTTTCCTACTGTTACTGTATTCACAACGAGAAAACATCATTCGGGGCTTTCCTCTTTCAGCCACAGAACTCATCTATTCAGTTTCATCTTTCTCCCTTACCGATTCCTTCACTTTATCAAAGAGAAACCCTTCCCCCTGCCCTCCAATATACATACATAATTCTCTTTGTGGCTTTTTGATTCGGGGCAGCACGTGTTCTATTTTTTAAAATGTGTTCATTATGTCACGGAAGTTGAGCACTTATATGTCTGGCCTTATTCAGGAGATGTCATCGTGAACGAGACAGAGTGTCTGCTTTTAAGGAGTGCAGAGGGAAAATATTTGAAAACATGTCACAAGTCAGTGAGTTAAGTGCCAGAATAAAGGCACAGGCAGGAAAGTGACTCATCTCCCAAAGGGTGGGAGGGAGCCAGGTACAGTATCCCAGAGGAAGTGCTATTTAAGCAGAGTCCTAAAGGATTCTGATATGTAGGCAAGAGGAGGACAAATGTTTTATCTCCAACTGATCTGTCAGTTTCTTGAGGTCAGTGATTTCTGCCTTCCTCAACCTTGCTTCCTCAACCTATAGAAGTTATATGAAGCATGTTGTCTGGCCACAGTGGGATACAACTAGAAATCGGTGACAGAAAGAAATTTGGGAAATTTACAAATATGTGGCAATTGAGCACCATACCTAAACAGCCAATGGGTCAAAGGAAGTTGGAAAATACCCTGAAGTGAATGAAAACAAAAACACAACATACCAAAATTTTATGATGCAGATACAGCAGCACTTAAAAGAAAGTGTATAGTTGTAAATGCCTCTATGTAAAGAGGAAAGAAGACTTTAAACAAATGTCTTAACTTTCCATTTTCCATAGAAAAATAAGAGCAAACTAAACTAAACTTAATGTAAGGAAAATGAAGAAAATAATAACCAAGAGAATAGGAATCAATGAAATAAAGTGAGTAGAAAACAATAGAGAAATCAATGAAACCAAGAGCTGTTCTTTGAAAAGATGGCAACATCTAACACAATTTTAGCTGATATATCACCAAGAAGAAAAGGAAGAACACTCAAATGACTAGAATTAGAAATGACAGAGGGGCCATCACTACTGACCTTCCAAAAATAAAAAGGATTACGAAGGAATACTATGAACAATTACGTCAATAAATTAGATAATTCAGTTGAAATGGACATATTCCTGGAAACAAACTACTCAAGCTAACTCAAGAGGAAATGGACAATATAAGTAGACTTTATAATAAGTTAAGAGGGTGAGTTAGTAATGGAAAATTTCCCAGAAAAGCCCAGGCACAGGGCGCCACTCCTAAATTCTAGGAAACATTTAGAGTATGAATACCAACACCTCACAAACTCTTCAAAAAAAAAACCCAGAAAAATGTAGAGCAACGTTTTAAGGAAAACATGCCATCTACAACATCACAAAGAGAAATATTTAGCAATAAAAATAAAAAATTGTAAAGCTTGTATTATAAATAACTGTGAGACATAGTTAAAGAAATTTAAAAAGGATAAAATGAACATAAAAAGGATAAAATGAACATAAAGGATAAAATGAACATAAAGACATCTCATGTTCAATCTGTTATTTCCTCGAAATGTTAAACTCAGAGTTACCACATGTACGAACTAGTAATTTCACTTCTAAGTATAAACACAATACATTGATTTCACACACTTGTAAAGCAGAGGCTCATGTAGTAGCATAATTCATAGTAACTCAAAGGTGGAGAATATCCCAGTGCCCAGCCATTTGAATGGTTAAACAAGATATAGCATATCCATAGAACAGAACATTTGGCAATAAAAAAGAAGTGCTGATACATGCTATAACATAAATGAACCTTGCAAATATGCTAAGTGAAAGAGGCCAGACATAAAAGATAACATTGCGTGATGCATTCGCTTACATGACACATTCAGACTAGGGGGGTTTCTGGAGACAGACAGTATATTATTGTACTTACCGGAGACGATCACTTGCTTGTGTCCATTATACAGATTATTAGCTCAGTAGCTTCCAACGAGGACTCTAATGTCAGAATGTCTGTGTGCAAATCCTGGACCCTCCCCGTTACATAGGGGCTTTGGGCAAATCACTCAACCCCTCTGAGCCTCACAAAATAGGTTTCAATCATGTGAGGAAGAAGGGAAGTGGTGCCTTGGCATTATTTTTAAATGTGGGGCAAGTTTAATTTTATAAAAATTTCCTCCAAATGGCAGGATGTATCTCATAAGACTATGTAGGATTCAATGGATATTATACTGAGGGGATTCAATAAATACTATTTATTATTAGTTTCTGTTAAATAAAGTAATTTAATAGGTGAATGCTTTTTTAAAGTCTAAATTACAACATGTTTTGTGTCAATAAAATCTTTAGTGAATACACTGTGTTCTCCCTACCCCATTTTTAAAAAATTTGGTGGTTAAGCTCTGAACTACCTATCAGTTCTTATTTCACATGTAAAGTATTTTAAAAAAAATATTAGAGCTTCCAGCTTTAGTTTATGTTTTCCTTTTCGAATCTCAGATTTGCTCTTTCCTGCAGATTGATTGTCCAAATAAAAATAAGACGTGAAAGCCGCTGAGAAGGCTCACTGAACCTACACTGGGAACTAAATCTCTTTTCAAAATAAGCTCTTCCTTTTCCTTCTACTTGAGGCACTGTGTGTGTGTGTGTGCGTATGCATTTGTGTGTGCATGCACATGTGTGTTCATATGTATTTGTGTGTGTGTGTGTGTGTGTGTGTGTGTATGTGTTTTAAGCTGGAGGCAACTGATAGAAACGGAAGCTCAGGGACCCTGTGCTTAGAGGACCTTTGCTGTGAGCAGACCCAGGATGCTGGCCTCCCAGCAGAATGGCCCCTGCTCACACAGAGCAGCTTCCCAATACTGAGCAAGTACTGACACTACAATGCAACTTCCCCCCGAAGTCTAGTAAAAGCCCTCCAAGCCCAATCAACTTTCAGGATTCAAATTAGCCTTTGTTTTTCAGACATTTCACGCGGAAAGAGAGGAAATATCAGTTCTCACCGATACTAACAATTCAAATACAAGGCTGCTAAATTTTTGCTTAAACTCACTGATTTTACATCTGTATATTCTTGGCCTCTTGCCGAAAAATCCCAGCTTGCACTGACACCACATAATGATAAGTTTGCTTTAAACCACAATACACAGACAACAGAACCAGGATACTAAAGTGGTCACTGACATAATCTTAGGTTGGTTGCACGTGGGCACGCTGAGGGGCGTGACTTCTGAGGTCAGTAGAGAAGTCCCTTCCTCTGAGGCGATGCCAACCACTCACTTAAATAGACGAGGCTCATTTGCATCATTTCCCCTTAACATTAGAGATCCTTAAGGTCAATTTCATTCCTAATTATATAAACACATAAGCTGTCCCAAAGTTTACCAAACCAAGTATAGAAACAAGTGTAAGCAGAGAATTCTGCCTTATGTTCCTTTTCCCATATCATTCTCTCTCATCCCTGCCTCTATGCAACTTTTCAAGCTATTTAGTTAGTCCTTCTTGAATGAATATTGGCACATGGACTTGTCATCACCGGGCACATATAAGGATGTTTTTCATGACTTTCTACAGCTGCACACTACCCCCGTTGGGATGCACTGTCACTAGAAGGTCTTGGGTACAAGGAGGGCTGTATATGCATCTTTCATCAAGTCAGTCAAATCTCTGGGCCTCACACTTCCAAATTCAAAACTTCAAACATAAAGAAAATGTGTCATTATTTTTGAAGAATAGTACATAACAGCTTGTGTGTGTGTGTAAAACTATTTGTTTTAAAAGGCTATTTGTCTGGTTGAGAATTCTTTTTAGTATAAAAACCAGCAATCCTCCCATTGCAAACCACGGTGCTACTTTCAGAAACAGCAACAGAACAGGGCACATCCTTGTAGCGAGATGGATGTTCTGCATTACATGGTCTTTAGCAGGCTGGCATGGACTCTTGCTTTAACAATATATTCATTTTCTTCTCTCAGGTTCCAAGAATTGACCACCTCCAAATGGACATAAAATTCATAATATATAATAGAGACTCACCGCTACTGGAAGCGTCGCTCAGACTCAGCAGCCCCCCTCCGAGGCCTCTGTAGCTATGGTAACTGTAGGTCCCGTTGCCATTGATGTACAGCACCTCCTGGGAGCCTGAGACCGCGGAGGCTGTGAGCGTGGCCTGGGCCACCTCGGGTTTGCTCTGCTTGTCAGCCGGAACGGACTTGTCCTGCAAAGACAACATTCCATTATCCACCAAGCCCCTGGGCCATTTGACCGCGAGCAGGACTGTCTTACTCTTATCCACATGTCTGCACTGGACAGGAAAAAATACCCCCGAGTCCCTATGAAGTCAGCACCTATGCACATTTTCAACAACTTGGCTAAAAAGGAAGGAGGGAGGAAGGGAGGGAGGGAGACACTATTGGAGATGAAATAACTTCTGATTTTCAACTGAATTTCAACGTGTATGAAGAGAGTCGTTCACAATAGCCAGGAGGTGGAAGCAAGCTAAATGTCCGTTGATAGACGGATAAGACATGGTATGGAAATTTCCTTAAGGAATCCAGCCTTAAGTAAAGAGGAGAACCGTGTCACATCCTACAGTATGGATGGACCTTGAAGACATAATGCTAAGTGAAAGAAGCCAGTCACAACTAGATGAACCTTGCATGATTCTACTTATATGACGATCTCAAGTAGTCAAACTCGTAGAGAAAGTAGGAAGGTTTCAAAGGCTGGGGCGGTGGGGAGCCATTCACGGGTTAGACTCTCAGCCACGCATCCTTCCTATTACCCAGACCCCAGCTCCGCGGTGCTCTGCTCTCCCTCAGAAAACACTACGAAGTGCCACGAACACCACTCAGCTCTGAGGTTGTCTTTCTGTCAAGACATGTGGTCACAGACTCCAAGAGAAGAACATCCTGTACTTCAAAGTGATTTGGAGGCCCTGGGGAAGGGGCTGGCCTCAGACAATTTCACCAACAATGTAATTTCCCAGTTTCTGGACTGAATATAACTTGGGCAACATAATAAAATGTCTAGTTTGGGGACATTGGTGGCTCTTCTTAAACACACCAGCCTACTTCCCTGTGATAAGAAAATGACAAAACAAAATACACTCACAGGAAGAGTTTCTTAAGAAGAAAGTGAAAAGGCATTGTCCTCACTGTATTTTCTCATTGATTTTTAGTATAATGTGTGTTGTTAGACATAAATACACTATATTTAAAATCTACCTCAGTCTTTCATTATTAACTGCTATTTCAACCATAGTAACCTCACTGAGCAGACAGATAATTGATTCCATTAATAATCACAACAGGCTTTGTAGGGAGTCACTTGTACTTGAAGATTTTCATTATTAAGGTTCTTGGCAGCCCACTATACGTAGAGAAATACAATACATGAAAATTCCAATGAGATCTAGTCTGCATTGTCTTTTGTGGAAAAGTTTAATGTAAAGTTAATTAATGTTTTTCTTTTGAATGATCACTAACATTAGTTTCAAAGAAGCACGATTTTAATGGCATAAAAAAAGGAATACCCCCTGAAGTCAAATGTTTTCTCAGAACTTTTTAATAATTGTGAGCTCCCAAAGTTTCAAATGACAGTTTGCCCCTGGGTCACTATAAAGATTATTTTCAAAAGATGATAATATTAATATATTACAATACTGCATGTCTAGGCAATGAAATTTTAATCAAATAGAAAAATTTCTATCCCAGCTTTTATGAGACTTATTTCAAATTTTCTTTTTAAAATTCCCAAAAAAGAAGATAGCTTGAATGACCTCCAGCAGTGCACTAGGTAACGTAGATTGTTTTCATTCTGATTGCATTGATTAAAAATATATAATAGATTAAGCATGGGTGGGGAATTTTTTTTTTTCTGCCAAGGGCCATTTGGATATTTATAACATTACTTGAAGGCCATACAAAATTATCAATTTAAAAATTAGCCTGCTATCTTTGGTCATATATTTGATTAACTCACCCCTAATGCCTTGGCAGGGCCAGACCGAATTATTTCTTGGACCTTATATAACCTGCACGCTGAATGTTCCCCATCCCTGGATTAAAGAAACACTTATGGTGCCCTAGCTGGTTTGGCTCTGTGGATAGAGGGCCTGCAGACTGAAGAGTCTCAGGTTGTGGGCTTCATCCCCAGTAGGGGGCATGCAGGAGGCAGCCTATCAGTAATTCTCTTTCATCATTGTTGTTGTTTTGTTTTTTTCCTCTCTCTCCTTCTCCCTTCCTGAAATCAATAAAAAATATATTTTTTAAAAAGAAACACTTATCATGCCTTCTATAATTAGGCTCTGGCGTTATCAATAAATACACCCTTCAAGGTTCATCCATATTGTTGCAAAGGCAAGATTTCTCCTTCTATGGCTGAGTAGTATTCCATTGTGTGTGTGTGTGTACACACATTTTTCTAAAATCATTTATTCATTAATGGACACTTTGGTTGTTTTCATTTCTTGGATGAAGAGGACATTATGCTGAGTGAAATAAGACAGATGGAAAAGACAAATACCTATGATTTCACTCACTCAGATGTGAAATATAAAAACAAAACAAAAACAGTCTTATTGAGGCACACAACGGATTTTTGGTTATTGGAGGAAGGGCAAAGCCAATAAAGGTGTATAATGACAGAAGCTAGACATTTGGTGGTGAGCATGATGCAGTACATATCCTGCTGGTTTATAATGCTGCATGCATAAATATATGATTCCATAAATCAATTTACAAAAATTAAATATATATACACACATTTTTATAAGTTTTCTAAAATTTCTAAAATATATATATTAGTAGAGGCGTGGTGCATGAAATCTGTGCACTGGGGGGTGTCCCTCAGCCCAGCCTGTACCCTCTCCAATCTGGAACCCTTCAAGGGATATCTAACTGCCGGTTTAGGTCTGATCCCGCAGGAGAAGAGAAGACTGAGAAGACTGGTCTGGATTCCTTTGTACTCTACCCACAGAAACTACACAGAGGCAAGCTTAAGTTTGCTGGATCTGCTCTGTTACTTGGGTTACACAGGTTGTATCCTAACCCACCAAAATGCCTAAGGAATCCTTTACTCAGGGTTCTTAGACAACTTTTGTTACTGTTGTTAATGAGATTTGCTTGATTCCACTCAACTGTCTGAAAGTAGGTTTCCAAAAAATTGGCATGGAAATGTTACATTGCCTTTACTGTATTTCCAAAGACCTCTACTCGTTCTTAGACTTTACCTCTACCATCTACTGTACATTTTCATTAAGCTTTCTGTCCTATAAAGCTAGTCAAAACAATACTCTTACCGCTAGATTCAATAATTCATGTCTTTCTTCTGCTTCCTGTATACCTTGCATTGTTACAGGAATTGGAGTTTGCCAGGCATCATTGCATCAATGTCAAATTACATTTTTAGTTCATCATTGAGCTGATCAGGGCCCAAGTGACCCACTTTTTAAAAGAAAAGCAACATTCATAGGCCTCAGATTGTGGCGTGGCATCCTTTGCCTGAAATGTCTAGAATATTGTTACTGGATGCCTCCTGCCTTTACATGCTCCTTGTAGTCTATGTAGCAGAAGTGGCTTTACTTAAGCTAGTGCTCTGAATCTCTCCTTTGCTCTGTTAGTGTAGATGAGCTGAGGGAGTGCAATGTATTCAAATTTGAACTGCTGGAAAACATACCTACTTCTAAAAGCTTCTCTTCTTCCACTGACAGTAATTGTTCCAGAACTAAGCACATCGCTATGCGTTTCCAGGGAAATTCATAAAAGATTAGAGAGAATCAGAGGTCCCATTAAGACTGTTTTCCTAGGAAAAAATTGCATGCACTCAAAGTAAATGTGCTTATTACCTAGGATAATGAGAAGTGACTTATCATGCCATCAACACACACACACACTCACACACTCAGATAAGTAATAACACTCAGGAAATAATTCCTTTCATATAGTCAGAAGCATTCCATGCAGTCTCCTGCAATTGCTGGCCCTACAAATGATTAAAATGCCAATACAGAAGGTAAGTCCTTGCAAAGATGCTTCCAAACCCACTAAAACAGATAATAAGGAAAGACATGTTTTTGTCTAAATCCAAAAAAGCACGATCAGATTTGAAATAACAGATTTGGTTTTTGACTTGAGAAACCAAAATCACAACAGCACAGCTGTTACCCAGAGTTTTATCAAAGTCTCTGAAGAACAGGTTATGCTGACAAACTGTCCTTGCAGCAAAATTTTCACACACACATACTTGCATGGCTTTATAAACAGTAAAGCTTTGAGAACTGTTGCCTTAAAGAAAACTACAAAATAAACAGGGTCTCCAACTCAAATGCATGTAAATGCGTGGCTGGCCAGAAGGAACCATGTACACTGCACAGTTATCTACTCTGACATTCTTCCTGGGGGCCATAATGTTTTATTATTAAAAAATAAAAGTAAAGACTTAGCACCTTTAAATTGGCATTTTAAATTTAATATTCTGCCATTTAGTTATTGACAAAAAAAAAATCAAATCAAATTAAAAAAGTAAATGTCTTTTTCTATAGGTCTCTAACACTCAATTTTGAGTTTCTTTGTTACTATAACCAATGAAAGTTTAAAAGCACTGTTTCTTTGAGGTTCTAAGATCTGATTACAGATATAAACCTTTTGGAAATAATTTTATTTCCACATCATAATATTTTCCACTCAGAAAAGTTTTTCAGTTTTATTTGTGAGCATAGTGGGGGTTGATAAGACTTCTTAGAGCAGTTCACCATTAACTATTATATAAAGGTCCTATTAACACGGTTTTGTCAGCAGATTAAGGGTAATACCACATAATGGTTATCTAGAGTATGATGCTGGGCAGCAAAAGGTACATTATTTCATCTACAATGTAATCAAATCTGTGATCCATAAAGGGGCTTTACAAAGGGATTTAATGAGTTCCTGATAGGTCATCACTCTGATAACAAAGCTATATGTTTAATTTATGTTGTCCACATAACATGTCTATATCATTGACGAATGCTCAAATATCCTCACAGGCATTAATTTATTTGACTAACATTTTAAAAAATATATTTATTTTTTACAGAGAGGAAAAAATGGAAATAGAGGGTCAGAAACATCGATGAGAGAGAAACAATGATCGGCTGCCTCATGCACACCCTACACTGGGGATGTGCCCGCAACCAAGGTACATGCCCTTGACCATAATTGAACCTGGGACTTTTCA